TCCCGTTCCCGGGTGCGGGAGCGGGGTCTCCGCGAGGGTTTGGGGCTGCTGCGCGCACCCCCCGACAGCGCAGCCGGCGCTCTGACAGGTGGAAAAGCAGTTACTCAGTGCTGGGATATTGCAGTTTCCCTTGTATAACTGATCGACTAATTTGTTTATAAATTATTTAATATGAGCTTTAAATTAAATTTCCCAAAAGTCTGTTGTTGTAATTATCAACTCTTTGCCATGGACTGTAATTTTTCAAGCTGGTAATTTAATGCCAGCAATGAGCAATTTCTCTAGGATTCTTGCTCAATTAACCGCAAAACTTCCACCAGCGAAAGCGTGAGTCTTGGGAACGGACTGGAGAAGACTAAGTGTTATGTACAAATCTAGGCTGTAATTTAAGTTTCTTGCTGAATAGATTGTCAACGTTTCTGCTGCTGATCAGGATCACTTCTTTTATTGCGAACTTGCAATTTTTCATTTTTCGCATGGCTCAGAGCTCCACGCGGCAGCGACCAGACGCCTGGGCCACGTGAAATGCGTGTGACTGCCCGCAGGTTCGCACGCCGACACCGGCAGACAGCTGCGGTCAGGGGAGGGCAAGCTGCCATCGCAGGATTCACAGGTGTTAATAACAGTGCCCGGCACATTTGTCAGGCCTAAAGTGCACATAGTGGCAGCTGACAAATTGAGGTGAGCTCAGGAGATGAGTTTCAGCTCAAAATTAAGGTGAGAAAGTTTGAAAATGGCCAAAAATGTTGATTATCTTCAAAACTGGATCGGCTTTGGGAAGTCAGCCTAAATTAAAAGCGAAGATTTAAAGGGATTACTAACCACCAGGACAAGGGGATTGCTTTGACTCCAGGAGAGGCTTCCAGCCCACGCTGTCTCCGAGCAGAGGCTCCCGGGGCCGCGGAGCCCTCCCGGCGCGCGGGACCGAGCACACAGACAGACCGGCTTCTCCCCGCTCGCCCTGGCCCCGTCGGGGGGACCCCGCACCCCAGCTCCCCCCCCGCACCTTGGTTAAGTGCAGCTTCCCTCCGGATCCGCGGGTGCAGATGATGAGGTGCTTGGAGAAGAGGAAGCACTGCCTCTCGCCCTCCTTCTTCAGCGAGAGAGACCCCAGCCGCCCCCGCGTAATCTTCCCCTTCTCCGACATCGGCACTTGGATGAGCGACCCTGCGAGAGAGCAGCAGCCATCACGGTCCGGCCGCGCTGCCGCGGGGCATCCCGGCCATGCGGGCTACCAAAGCCACGGCCATGCAGGCCGTCAAGGTCCCCCACCCCGTGGGCCACTGGCCATGTGGGCCAGCAGGGTCTGAGGTCCATCTGGAGGCTCCAGCTCCTGCCTGACCCTCCAGCCCCTCGCTGGGGCGAGGGATGATGCCACGTTCCCGCCGCCGGGACGGCGCCGGCATCGAGAGCTGCGGGGAGCTCAGGGAGCAGCCCGCCACTCGTCTGCTGGCTGAAAAACCAGTAACGGCCAAAACGCTCCTTCTTTGTCTGTGGCGCGACAAAACACAGCGCTGAGGCTGTCTGAAAGGCAGGAGCTTTGGAGCAGAGAAAAATGAAAAACGGGTTATATTTTCAAATGTCACAGCTCAGCACGCTGCGCTGCGGACGGATGCCGTGCCGAGGAGGACGGGGCTCGGCAGGGCTTTGCACTAACCAGAGAGAGGAGAAACACCAACATGAACACGGTACCTTGTCTTACAAAGGTCTGGCTGGTATCCAGCAGAATTTCACATCCTTCAATAATCATCCTCTCTATTGCCAGATTTTTCCGAATATTTTCCGTCTCACTCACTTCATCGTGCATTATCCTAAACGAGGAGAGGAGAAAATTGGAGCCTGAATGAAATTGGCATGAGACTTCCCAGCGGGTCCCGTTCAGCACACCGGAGGCGCTGCATCAGGTAAGCTTAACAATGAAGGACTATCAAGAGAATTGCAGTATTCATCTGTACAAATAAAGGCAGACACTGGAGCTCAGGAGATAGTCCAGACTGATTCGCAGGCTCTACTTCTAGATTTGTAAGTACTGAAACGCACACGCTGCGTGCATTTCCGTTCTTGCTGGGAAAGCACAGAATCTGGATGCAGGGCAGATAAATTCCCCCTGTTCACCAAAACGCCCCCAGCGTGCCTGCTCCGTGAGGGGCAGAGGAAGGGCTGGGAATTCGCACGGACCGTCCGGGCACTGAGGGGCTGGGTGAATTTTGCTCCATCACAGACGCTCCGTGCAGGACGCGGGCAGAGGAAACGAAGGAGAACGCCTCATTCCTCGGCCCGTTGAGAGACAAAGCGTCAGAAACGGGGAATCTCAGGCGGCTCCCGTGGGCTCGTTGCCGAGACACGGGCGCGGGGGCTCCTGAAAAACGCAGACGCGCTCTGAGCTTGGTGCTGTCACCCGTGCCCACCGCAGGGGCTGGCTGCAGCCCGGCAGCACGCGTCGACGCGCA